CCCACGGGGTGCCACGGCAGCCCCTGGCAGGAAGCCGCTCAAGCACCGGGACACGCAGATAAGGCTCTGCAAACCAAAGGCCTCGCTGGTGCTACAGGCTGCGCGAGGAGGGGCTCAGGCGCCCGCCCCCTTCCTGCTGCACCCGCCCCGAAGGGATGCGCCACGGCGCCATGAGCTTGGTAGAGAAATAAACAGCCAGAAATAAACAGGGCCACGCAAGAGGAACCCAGGGCCCCAGGCACAGGGCAAGGGCACTCCCAGCTCTGCTCGCCTGGGAAGGGCATGAGCAGCTAGTCAGGGCCCTGGGAGACATGAGCCCAGCCTCGGGGATGTAGAGGAGAGTGGTGGCGCAGGCACAGGCTGGAGCCCTCGTGGGACGGGCGCCGGAGCGGCACAGAGACAGAGCTCCTGCCCAGCGCAGCCCCTACCGTCCCTTAGCAGTGCGGAGGAGCGCGATGTCTGCACGGCTGCCGGCCCAGCCAGCCAGTTCCAAGGGCTCCCGCTGGCACCCGTCGCCAGCGTCCCATCCATCAAACCTCACTATCAAGTTAGGCACTGAGCTCCAGGCTGGGGCAGGCACGCACCGTCCGGAGTCAGCGCAGCTGTTTCTGGAGGTACCGCTGCAAGGGAGCACTGCAGGCCTCGCTGCCGCAGCACCCCAGCACCAGGGCAATGTCACAAGCTGCTCGTGACACATTCACCTTTACACTCACATCCCTGAGCAGAGCTGCTGCAGCACATGGCAGCCCCAGGAGTGGGCAGATGCTGGGCAGAGGGCACCTGGGCCCTGCTGCTGCCCTACTGGAAGGGCCCAGCCAAACAGATCTGCACGCGCCGCCAGCCTGGAGTGACGCCTGCATCGCCCCCACCGCCGCAGAGTCCGGCATCCTCAATCCCCTCTCCCACCGCGTGGCACGGGCACTGGGGACAGCGCAGACCGCGCGACGAGAACGCAGCACGACCTCCCTGCACCCGCCTGCAATCTGCCGGTGGCTGTGGGGTGGTCTCACGTTTAAAAACACAGCACAGTCCCAGGGAGCAAGTGGGCCACAGGCAGCTTCTCTTCTCCTGGCTGGAACATGGAGACGGGGGACCCGGACTCCTGGTTCTCTCCCTGCACCCACAAAACGGGGACAGCCGTGCCAGCGTCGCTAAGTGCTTCAAGCACCTGGCCAGAGGCACAACGCGAAGGGCCGCCTGCTGCTAACGAATGCACGTGGCATCAGGCTCGGCACGGCTGCTTTCATCTGCCAGCTCGTTTCTGAGGGGCAGCTTCGTGCCTGATCCCCAAACCAATGAGCCAAGCACCTTTCATCCACCATTCCCAGAGGGGGGCTCAGCACCACGCCTCCCTGACTGCAACCAGGTCACTCTGTTGGTGCAGCCCACAAGTCTGCCACCTGCCAGGCTCCAGCAGTCACCTTCCACATACGGCACACCTCTGCCCTGTCCCCGTCACACTTGCTGCTCAGGCCACGTCGGCCCTGCTGCGGCAAACGGCGCTCGCAGCCTGGTAGCCGGGGCTGTCTATGCACAGCTCGCTACCGAGATACTGGATCGCTTTCCCAGGCTCATGTGACTCACCTCCTCAGGCTCCTCACCTCAGATCACCTTGCAGCGAGGGTGCACGCAGCATGCACTCCGGAGCCCAGCCCAGCCCAGCCGCCGCGGCAGCGCTCCACGACCTCCCTTGGCCTGACAGCCCACGTTTGTCTGAAACCGGCGCTGGCCGCGCGTTGCTGAAATGCTGCAACAGCACGGGGGGTAGCGTGGGGCAAGCAGCCCCAAGGCAGGAGCGCAGAGCAGGAGATTAAACAAGAACAACACGTGGGGTGGGTGCTTTATGATAACCTCTGCATCCCCGTCTCCAGCACAGACCAGGCATGACTCAGACTTCAGGAGCCAGCGCCTTAGCAAGACCTCCAAGCAGGGCAGAGCTGGAAAGCCTGACGCTGGCCGAGTGGTAGGACAGCAAACGAGTGAGTAGGCCAGAGGGCCGTGGGGGGAAATGACTCCGACGTCAGCCTCCTCTGCAAAGCCCCATGGTGCTGAGCAAGAGCCCCACGTCGGCCTCCAGCCTCGGCAGCACAACGCCTCAAATTACTGCCAAGTCTCAAGGCCTGAACCCCAGAAGCCCATCGCTGACGTGCTGGCACCGTTAGGCATCTCGCACAGGCCGCCCAGACGAGGCTGCCAGATCACGCGGTGAGGCACACTGATGTCAGCAGGCCACAGCCTTGAGACAGCAGCCTCCTGCAGCTCTGGCGCCTGGGCAGGAAAGACGCTCAGTTAACGATCGAGATCAGGGCAGGAAGGAGCAGCCTGCAAGCAGGCGGTTGCTCCAGCATTGCACCAGCCATTGCAACAGCCATACAGCAGGAAGCCAGGATTGCCCGCACGTTACACTGCTCTTGGTCACGCAACGCTGCACCCTGCCTTTCTTACCCACTATAAAAGACCCCGGCCCAGTTCCAGCACAAGCGCCCTGCCCTCCAGGACCCCTCCCGTCTCTGCTTGGCTCCATGCCCATGGCTCCTGGATCACCACCCTGATTAGGAGCATCATTAAGGAGCCGCTCCCCAGCCTGCTCTGTCCAGCAAGCTGACCCAGGGGCTGCTGCGGTGGGAGGCTGCAGCAGGGCCACGCAGGCACCCACGAATCCCCACGTGCACCAGCGCGGAGGCCATGGGCATGGCCTGGGAGGCGAGCGCAGAAGTTGGTGTCCAGAGCCGAGCACCGGCGCGCTTGCAAAGGCGGGGGAATTTGCTAAGCGAAGGCGCCGGCCCGCGCCCCCCGTTACAACGCCCCGGCAGCCGGACACGGCGCAGAACCCGTCATGCGGAGGATGGTGGCGCGACCGCAGTTCCTGCCCCACCAAAGCTCTGGAGGCCCGGCCCGCCGGCCCCCGG